ACTTCCACACACACACACTCACTGGGCCAGACACAGGATGAATGCGGGAAGCACTGGTGCTGCTCCTAAATAACTATTGATGTGTCAGGCACTATCCGGCCGATACACCGCCAGAGGTACGCCACTATGCAGGAAGGACGACCTCACTTGTCCACTCATCAATTCTTCAGCGCATGGACGCGATGTTTGTGGGCTTGCCTCACTGCTCCCGGCCAGTCGGCAGCGGATAGCAGGAGGGCCTCTCCACCTCTTTGCCTCAGTGAGAGTCCGATATAGTCACTCATTCGCCTGGTCAGCGTCCACCCGCGCTCCGATCCCATTCTTATTGTACATGCAGCATCTGCCGGACCGGGACTAAACTACCCCCGGGCAAGCTCTCAATCTCCAATGAATGCTTCCGCCTAGGCTTATTACAAGATAAAACGGGGAACTCCATCTTCATCAATTCTAGCAGTTATTACCTATGACCAAGGGTAAGCATGTTAGGCACATGCACATACATACACAAATATACACACATACATAAATACACACACACACGCATACACATACACCCACTGGGCTCTTACAGCATCACCATCAGCCAGGCAATTAGCTTCAACTATAACCCAGTCCCTGGACCTCCCACAATGCACTGCTTCACCTCACTTGCCTCAGAATGAATATTCTGTGTCACCTTAGCTCGCTCCTCCATTCAATCATTCATTCCAGGCACTTCCCTTTTTAAAACACTCATTCATACTTTACCGGTCTAAGATGTTTTTTTTATGCGTTACTGCTTCATACGTGCGCTTATTGTATGCAAATTCTTAATATCTGCAAAGCGATAGTCCAGGGATTCCTAGTCTTCCAGATATTAGACCTCGCGACGTTTACAGTGAAAAAAGTGAAATGTCATGGATGAGATGGTGACTAGCCCATCATCCTTTCTCCATTAGCGGACAAGTGCTCCGCACAGGGCTTTCGCCATCCAATCACGCATTCTCCTTTATTCCCGGTAGCGAGAACTGCTTGATTCATCATCTTTTAGCCACTTCTGAACTAATTAATAGCGCAAACCAATTATTTGCGGCTATCGCATTTAACTGATGTAATGCAAGTAAAATGCGAATCGCTCTTTCTTGTCTTTCTACTTTTATGCAAATGAAGAATGCATTGAGGCAACTGTCCTATTCCTCGGATAATTCAACTATGATAAGGAAAACCCGGAATTTGGTAACATGCGCAATTACTTCAATAATTTGTGACGTTTTAATCTTAGCTAAACTTTTTCATATATAGTATAGATTTCAATCTTTAACAATTTTAGATATACTTCGCAACCAACTGATATCTACTCTTCGAATAGCTTTTACAATAGTGTTCAAACTTAACTTAGCGGTAAATATTCAATATAATTTTGTAGAATGATGTTTCGCGCATTACTTATTGCGATGACATTAATTTGGCAGGAACAACCATGTGGCAAAGTAATGCAAGCACTTAAATGTGTTCGATCTTAAGCATCGACCTTTTCCAGTCTGATGCAAGCATGAGTGACTGCTTGCTGATAAGTTATGTAAGAACGCATCTGGACTACATCGTTAAGGATGTTCCGCAAATAATGAACAATTCCAACGCGCAGCAGAAGTTCAGAATAGTTATGGAAGAGAGGCGTTGTGAATGTTCTGCACTTGTGCGCACTTCGCTTTTGTTGGAAAGACACCAAACATCGAGCACGATAAATACTTCAAAGGCGTAGCAACATAAGACAGAACTCATCATCTGGGAAGAAGAGAAGGAGGAAGCATTTACAGAGCCTTCGAGGGTAAAGATTTTGATGTCATAGGCCTTCATATTCACTCCTCTCATTGGGTGATTATTTTTCCGTGATTTCGGTGTAACAAAGTCGAAGCTAAATTTGTAGCTAATAGGAACAGTTGTCAAACTCTACAAATTTAACTGCAACCCTCGTAATGAATTTTCGCCGATAGCAGAAAGAATCATTCACGAAAGTCGCGAAGGATTTAGTGAGGCACAGCCGAGATGATACTTGCTCATTGCTGGTTGTTGGGATGGACCAGTGGAATAAAAAACTCGGCTATTAGTTGTATAGTTAGAATTTTGATTGTCAACAACCGATCCTCCCGCACAGTCTATATCAGACTGCTACTAGAAAGTTTCTTGCAAAAGTGTTCAGAGGAAATGTTCAGTCGCTGACTTGAGACTGTGTCTCTAGCGTCAGAAGCAATCTGTATTTTTATGTCCTCTAAAAAACATCTGTTCGGAGAAACAAATGCTTGTGTTCGACCGGAAAGATTTTTGCCTCTAAAAACTATTGACCTAATCGAAACATTTCAGCCTACAGTCCTGCCAGTTATGATTCCCTCACTGCAGGTTTAGTTTTACTGCCCTGACATATGGGACTTCTGGATATTTTGATGCTCTCGTAGATCAGGAATTCGCAGTGGATTCGTAGAAAGCTTAGCTACTATTAGAGTTGCATGTGTGAGAATATACTAATGTAATGTGACTGAGGGTCCAGGGCTGGCAAGTTCAGTGCGAGAAGATGCGTTCGATAATCAATCAGCGGATGTCTAGGTGCATAGGAAACAAGCAGCCTGAGTAGCAATCTTCTTCCAGGGCAACGAAGCGGACTGCTCAACGTATTACCTCAACGTTCTTTTAATCCCAAGCATGCTGCAGTGCCCTTACATCCGTCCTTTACTAATAAACAACAATCATGATGCGCTTGCCGTGCATATATAGTGAGCAGCGATGATGCCAAGGATACATGCTAAGAGTAATCCAACTCTCGCTGTGTGTGATGTGTGTCGTTACCGACAAATTCCACCAAGTGTCTCGAGTGTCCGTTATTCTAAGCATCACTCGGGAAATTAGCAGATGCCGTATTTGAACCTCTATCCCATCCAATCAGTCCCGGAAGAGGGTGCACGCTCCTTCAAAGAAGTAGATGCTTAAGCCACTAGAAAATGCATGTTATTAGATAAAGTACAATAAAAAATTCTTGAAGCGCGCTCTCTCTTTTTCATTCGCAGAAAACAAGTCTATTTCTAAACCTCTCCATTAACAACTGTCTTATTTTCAAAAAATTAGAAATTTTTTGACTCTTACTGTAACTTGTGCATCTCTGTGCTATCGTACTGCAAATAGACAGAACAAAACCAATTGCCTTATGCGATAAACAGGTAATTCTTGAAGCGAACTTCCTACAGTTCTGTCTGATGCCAGAGCCAAAAAAAGCTGATAAATGTAAGCGGTTTCCTGTAGTTGTGAGAAAGCAGGTGACAGTGTAAATCCTACTTATCTTCGATCATTGTCCCTTTTCTTCTTGCACTCACACCGCTACGAGATACACATCCCTCTGACAGCTTTCTCATGCTATATTATAGGG